ATCATCCCTTTCCTCCATGAGAAATATTTTAAACTCAACTGAAAAGAGCCATGGCAGTGAATGCAGGTTAGTGTTTGAAAAGGAAAATGGCAGCTGTGAAAGGCAGTTTGCCCAAGCCTGAACAAATAAGTCAAATGAAAAATGAACCGACCCTTTAATATTAAAAGCCAGAATTACAAAAATTGCCATCTAGGTATGCAAATAATTTGTACATGTTCAGGGATATTTGCCTGATATTTCTGCTGTCTAAGACCTTTTTCACTGTGATAATTAAACTTGTCATAACACATGTGTGACTGTTAACATTAACGATGACTCTACTTGATGAATTGTCCCAGTTGTCATTCTAGCCAACCAGTTAGCCTTAGCTGCCATACCAGCAGTGTCACAGTAGTGACTTGGTAGCAAGTTGTCTGTAGTTGCATTCATTAGCCTTTAATTGTATGAATGATTTTGTGTAATAGTGTTAATAACACCTAAAACACATATATGCATGTAGGTTCCCATTGCTGTGCATACAGCTTGCGCTACTGTAATTACATGGCTTGGTTCTGTGGCATTACTAACAGCAAGTTGCATAACGTTTTCCCTCAGCTGAGAAACTGTATCACTAGTTTAGAATACCGTCATTTGTGAAGGGGTGGGCGCTTTTTACATCTGAAACTGTGAACATAAACTCCTTTGGCGCAGTTTGGGTGTGCAGTATATATAAGTTACGATGGTGATCTAGCCACCTCACAATAAAAACTCTAGCTTTAGACTCAACATAACTCACTAACCCATGAATCTTGCTTCATAGTACACCCCTCCATGCTCAGCAGTGATTTTAAACTCCATTGCTGCCCTGCCCGAGAGTGTGTGCTCTGAAGTGAAGGCGTGCTCCTGTTTTTTGAGGGCCCCGAATGATGATAGGCCTGCTCGAAATCTGTGGGAAGTAATGAGCAGTGTGACTGGACTGCACAGGTGGAAACCAATCATGTTGTTAGCATCCAGAGAGGAGAGGAGAAAGAAAAGCAGGAGGAAAGACACACACACACAACAGGCACTTTGCCCCTGACTGACAGGTAACAAAAACTGACAATGAACTGATCCTACTGACAAGTGTTGTTTGAAGGTCTTCCATGAACACGGCAACAAATTCGCATTAATTTGCACCTGAAAAGAGTCAACAATGCACTATTTACTTTTGTTTGACTTATGCTTGTGAAAAACTACAGTGCCCAGCTGTTTAAGGAAATCATTTAGCCTTTTTCAAAAAAATTTAAGTATATTTTTGTTTTGAAAGATTTGTCTTCTGTAGAAAACAGTGGGCTTAGGCAGTGCCACAAACAAGGTAAGGAAGTTGGAAAGAGAGACGGCTAATACACTGTTAGTTTTGGTCTTTTCATTGGTCTTTTGTGACAACAATATACCCTTTTTACATTATCTAAGAACCACAAACGAAACTCCATTCACATATTATATTGAAGGGGAGGCAGAAATCTTAATCTCTCTTAATCATCTTGAAACACATTTCCGTTCGTCATCAGTGCTGATCAAATGTGAGTGTGATCTTCATTGCACTCAAGTAGTTGAAGAAGTGTTGAAATTTACTTTTTTGGCATATCAACTTTCCTTCAACCTTTCTGTCTATTTCTATTTCAGGCAGTGATTTCTTACCGTATCTCTCCAGAGAAGGAACTTTAACTTATGAGGATATATATATACATGGATAGAGAAATGCTAACAGCACAGCTAGAGTAAGAGTTTTACCAGTCATGAACAGCTGAAGCCCTTACCTAAAATGCAACATGTCTTGTCTCAGTATTGCATTCTGGTCTATGGAGGCAGCTGTCAGTGTGAAGCTGTAATCTCTGCCTCTCCTATGATGGATTTCTCCCTGTATGATTGTTGAACGCCCGTGATAATGGTAAGTCTAGAAAGAAGCTTCTGTCTTTGATTCGGAGCGAGTGACACAGAAACCTGACATTTACTGTTGATGTTTTATATAGTTAAAGATATTTCTGCTGTCAGGCTCCATTGTAGCTGCTCTGGAAACATCTTGACATGAGATCACAGTCTCCTGACTGGCCTGTTATCCACAGGAATAAAATAAAAACATTACAAAACATAAAAATAGGACCACCACCAGCTGCTTTGGTTGTTTAGTTTCTCTTTTGGTTTCAGCATTTCATGTATAAAATGTAAAGAACCAATAACCATAACCAATTCAATTTACTGTACTGATTCCTGAAACTTTTCTCAGGTCACCTGACTCACAAAACTTCAGCTTATTCAGAATGGTGCCACTATTGTCCTAAAATAAGACCAAGAAAACGGACCACATCACATCAGTTCTCAGGTCTCTTCACTGGCTCCCAGTGTGTCATATAAATACTTTAAAGTACTGCTGCTTGTCTATAAATCTCTCAATGACTTAGGACCAAAATCCATCTCTGAATGTCTTTTACTCTAGGAACCTTCATGGAGAAGCAGAATTTACTTACTGTGCACCACTGAGCTTGAACAAAGTTTCAGATGATATATATTGCACTGACCTTGACCATCTTTAAATCCAGAACACGTGTGTTTTGCTTTGCCTTTGACTAAACCTTAAATACTTATCATGAAACATCTTCCTATCCTGTATTTATGTCTTTGTGCTTAACATTTTGTTTCCTTTACAAAAGGTGTCTATTCTTCTAGTAAGCATTTTAACAGTAATATTTACTATTTATGCTGTTTTTCGTAAATGTTTTCATGGATCTAAGCACTTTGAATTGCCATTGCGTATGAAATGCTACACAAATAAACTTGCCTTGCATCCAGGCATTGAAAACTGTATCTATGCACTTAGTCTTGAAACGTTCAGGTTTTCTCAAGCAGATAGGCTCCTCCTAAGTGGTTTGATGCGAAGACTGGTTTCGGAGGAGCCCCACTGCAGAACAGACCCTTTATTACAGGTTAGGTAAGGCATAAATGGCTGGTATGCTCACAGAGGGCCTGCAGATTGATTCACTCAGAGTCACCCCTGCACTCCGCATTCAAACAAATTACCACTGAGCTGAAATTATTCCAATGCTGAAATGCCACTGACATCCGGCATCAGAAAAATAATATGTTAAACCAGAGAAGTCCTGTTATTACCAGAGGTGCACTCATACTGTTTGCCTGACCATAAAATGTGTAATTAAATGTATCAGGTGAAGTAGATTATTAGTCTACAGTGAAATGACAAAATAACATCCATATAGTAGCATTATCTAAGCCATAACAGGGGAATTTATGTAGCTAAAATTCATAAATTCAAAAAGTTTCACTTGTCACTGAGTAGTTTCTTTTGAATATGAAATTATTTAATTACTGGTGTCTTTAATCAGTTTGAGTAGTCTTGCTGCTATTAAGGGTTTGCTAGAATCTCCATGGAGATATTAATCCACGTTGTTGCATTGTGACCTTTAAATTATTACTGTGTGGAGGGTGTGTAAGATATGTTATCATTGCAGGGTAGTAGTAGGGGTTGTTGTGGTTATTTTTCTTTATATTTTAGATAACCAAGACAAAAGAAGCAGCAAAAAGCAGCCCTTTAACACAACACTGTAATGTCCAGTACTGTACAGGAGGATGTTTAACAGTAGCGGCTGACAGGAGCTACAGTGTTGAGGCCACTGCTGGAGCACAGACCCCCTGGCACTTACTCTCTTACATACAAATGGATACAACTTGTCAGCTCCTTTCAGTCTGGGCTTTAGTGTTTATTTTTTATAAAAGGTATTTTATTATACTGATAACAACAAAAGTATTTTAATAAACCTGAACGTGACTGTAAAAGCAGTTGAGAGATTGATGAGCAATATTTGTGTTTTCCTTTTTCACTGATATGACAATTCTAGCTTGTGCCGTGTAAGTCCGATCAACACTTACACATTGCTTTTCAGTAAAACTGAATGTGGCTCAAACAATGGACTCCTCAATTTTGAAGATGTTGAATTTGAGCTTTTATGAAGAACTGATAAGTGAAACTTTTTGTTTTGGATGGAAAGAAGCCAATTTCACCCATATCTCTATATGTGTCCTCCACTGAGTCGAAGCTGTTTTTAACCACATACCTACCTCTTTTGGATGTATTTGGCTGAAATCTGGTAAACAGAAGAAGCAGCAGATAATCCAGATTTCTTATTGTTTTTCCACATACAACTGTGTGAAGATTTTTCTAAACCGTATTATTTTCCAATGTATTATGAAAGACTTTGCCACTGGCTATCAGATGTCAGCATCTGTCACCTCAGTCCTTATAAACCCACTACTACTTTCTCCTAACGATCTGTGTGCCTTACCTGAGTTCAAAAAGGCTTTGATCTTAGCTGCCCAAATGAAGTGAACTACAGGAGTAAACACTCCAGACGTGAAGTAAACAGCTCCAAGTATGGATTGAGCGGATGGGAGCTGCTGGATGAGTAGCTGTGCAGTACAGTAGGTTCATACACCTATCAATCTGCTGGATCTTTATGCTGCTGTGTAATACTGCCAGAGAAAATGATGGAAGGCCCTTCAGACTGGGCACAGTGAGGGGTGAACAGTAGTGATCCATGAACTTCAAACACTGGTAGGACTCAAGCCAGGATCTAACAACCCTGGCAGGGACACATGCATGGGCAAAGGTGTCAGAGCTGCATACTGTATTGTTAAAATAAAGTAAAAATATATATTCTTATGTAATCAACCTCCTCTCTTGTCTTGACTTCACTAGATTTGACACGACCCATATGATAAAATAGGTTTTTGTTTAAATATCTTTTTAAAAAATATTATTTTACAAAAATGTATAAATCAGATATGTTCGTGATTTTTTTTGTACCAATCCTCTTTTGAGATATTATGTGCCCAGTGAGCCAAACTCCTTCAAGGTCAGTGCTCCTTCATATATGAAGCTACTGTGGTTAATTGCTTATAAAATCCTTGCTTACATTACTTAACATAACGTTTGAAAAATAATCAAAAGTAAAAATGACACAAAGGCATTGTATTGCATTTTCTTTAGTACTTTACATATAACGGGAAAATACAAGGGTTTGTTTTCAAGAGAATACAGGAAATTTAACAGTGCTCTGTACATTAACATATTATTGTGAGTGTAGTGAGCCAGGGGGGAAGGGGGGCAGAAAGGAACAATTCAAGATGTTCAATTACATGTTGTCAGAAGAGAAGTTTCTATTAGCAGCTTGAAGAAAATCACAAAATGATCAATACCCTCACCGTCACCAAAGAAGCATTACAAAAAAAGACTTTAAAAGCACAGAGGAAGGAGAAGTTCGATGTGAAAGTGAGGTTAAAAAAAAAAAATTTTTTTTAGAGACAGATCATAATGGGCAAAATATTTACATACTGTGACAGTAAACTGAAAAATCTAAACAAAACAAAACGTATGAAAAGAGTGTGTAAAGCTGCTATTAGATACTTAGGCTGTTATAGAAGTGTCACCAGATTCGGCTGACCACATTAACACTAACACTAACTAACATTAAACAGCCAAGTTTAGTTAAGAATCCTACATTCATCCTGAAAAACCATCATTTAAAGTTAAAACTGAAAAACTTCCAGCTGGCTGCTACTTCTCTTAATTTCATGGCAAATCATGTTGATGCTGTGACTGGAGGATGGGCTTGGGCTGTCAAAAATAACGTCTCATCTCTTAAGATGTTAACACAGATTGAATATTATTAAACACTAGAATCAGGTCATTATTCATTTCAACCACATGGAACAAAGAGAGGGCATGCAGTAAACCAAATCCTTAAAGTCCCAATCCAGGATTTATGAGAATATCAAATGTGGGTCTATATACATGTAGAATATTGAAAGGTATGGTTTACTGACAGAAAATAATCTCATGGCAGCTTTGAGATAAGTGAAAAATAATTAAAGCCGGTTTTGCTCCAGTATTTACAATGTAAGTGAACCACTTCCATCTTTAGATCACATTTAACGCTTGTGTTTAGCTGTCCCATATGGTCAGTTAATGAATAAGGAGCTCAGGAAACACATTTTAAAAGCAAATATAAAATGTCTTTAGTTCAATGTTTTTGTCTGATATAAAGCTGTTTTTTTGAAGTGAAACAGCACTGCCTCAAAGAGAACAATTCTGGATTGGGTCTTAAATAAGGCTGTAGGGGTTGAAAAGCAGGTATGATGGCAACAAAATGTTTTGAGTGACAGTTTAGAGTAGTAAATAGAGCTTACTCTCATTATCACCAGAGAGGAAGCAAATAATGTTAGTTTCCTCATAGGATCATTAAAATCTCAGTCAGTTAACATAAAAGAAAAATCCAAGCCCTTAGATGCAGTAGAGAATTAAAGGAAAGTGACGTGAAAAGTATTTTTTATCTCATGGTTGCTTCAATAGTACTGAAAAGAACTTGTTTCATGTGAGATCAGAGCTGGAATAACATCAACCTTCAAACGTCATTTCCAGTCTTCCACTCTAGTAATTAAAAAATAAAGCAAAGCCTACACTAACAGGGCAACTGCAATTACAAATACTATTAGCTCTGCTGTCATCATGCTCTCAGTCCCTACGTGTCTGGCTGCCTCGCAATGTTTTGGATGAAATCAGATATTTTATGCTCTTTCTAAAACTGCCAGATCTTTCCTTTTTCTGCTTCAGTGTAGTTTAAAACCCATGTCAGTAAACCTTTAAAAGCTTAACACAGCAATTAACACTTGCTGCACAAGAAAACCTGCAAATTATATCCACTGTCTATGCTGTTTTCAGTCACTTTGATTTGTCAGTAAAGTCAGTTAGCATCCTGAGATACTTTTACATGCTGTCAAAACCACACCCTTGGCAGCAGCACAACTCATCTGACACTAGCAACACAAATGATTTCTTTACCAGTAAGAGCTACTAGTTTCTCACTCAGTCCATTTAATTCAGAGAAAGCCTCCAAAGTATGTTCACTGGAATAGATTAAACTAAATAGGGACTACATAGTTGTTAGAGTGTGTTAACAATTAACATGACAACATGGGATGGCCATGATATAAAAAAAGATGGAGCAAAATCAATAATTTATCCAATAATCTTCTTTTTGGGGGGATGGCATTTTCCTTCAGAGTTTAGAGGATCTCGTGTTCAGTGAGAATGTATCAGTGTTTCCAACTAGTACATCATACTTTACTTTTATTTTCCTTAAGGCTGAGGCCAGTCTAACTTGAGGAAGGGAAATAAATGATCAAAATATGAAATCTGTTACAATTCTGATGCATAGCAAATCCCCATGTTCAACAGTCAAATGTGATACTACTTTGTTAAGAAGCTACAGCTCCGTCATGATTATATTATGTCATTACTGAGGGGAACCTTCTACTCACCACAAGACTTCAACCTGCTTCCCACTCTTCTAGCTTGGAGCTACTTGTTGAACATTTGAGAGGCGACTCTGGCTCAATATGGTATATACATACTGTATACTAGAGAGGAATGTCTGCGTGTATGTAGGCCTGACATGACATGCGGGTAATGCTTGGTAATATATTTACTTTAGTAATGTGTATGAATGATTATATAATTACAATACAAACATTTACAAATTTGGAAAAAGTTGCTGATTGTGCCTCAAGATCCCCTTCCATGCAAAGAACGTTAGAGATCCTCACAATTCACAAGCTCTTTTCTAATACCTCATGCTTGAGATTAGTTGTAGTATTTTACATCTTACTACACTGTCTCTAGCCATAGTGAGAAAACAGGGTGTCTGCACTGATATAAGAAGTGAACTGTGACCATTTTTATAAGGCATTAGATTTGTTCAGGACCAGGAGGACTAGTAGTAGGGCACTGCTTTTGACTACCTATGAAATGTAGAAAAATGTATGGAATGAACATGAGTACAAATCATGAGTTGAGTGCTGCACCAAGAACAACAATGAAGAAAGTTTTGCCATTAAAAGAACGCTTTTCCTACTTTGGCAAAAACAAAAGGATTTTTTTAACATAGCTTTCATGAGAGTCTTTGACAGTTTTGTGTTCATCAAAGGCCTCTTTGTTGGAGTAGGTACAGAACTGAAGAGTCCCTCTGAGCCAGCAAAAACACAGCCAATACCAAACCTCTGCAACAATCCTGTCCATATCAGGCTTTCTCTAGAGTCAAATCCTGATGTGCAAGCTGGAGCAGCTCTCACACCTGGCCATGGCACAGCTTTCCAGTGAAATATGTTTCCTATAGCCAAGATTTACAGATTTCTCTAGTGATTGAGATCCCTCTGGTCAAGTCTTTGGCTTCCTCGCATTCTCTTCTGTGTGAGCGTGTATGAGATTACAGCACTGTGCAAACTAAATGGAACACACCCTAACCAAAACAACAGTTGGCCTTTTAGTCTGTGAAAAATTATCTTTCACTTAGGTGAAAAAGAGAAAAATAGAAAGGAACATTTCTTTAGAAAGCTGAGAGTGGTGCTTCACGCTGCACCTCTTATCTCAGGCTATTTCTTTTATTCTGCGCATGTAATCATGCAGTTCCTCTGGGTCTTGAAAGCCCATATCCTGGCAAACCCACTGAATGTCCTCTTCATCTGCTATGGGGATGGAGTTATAGGGCAGCTCTTCTGTGGGAAGGGTGGTAAAGGTGGTAAACTTGACTCTCTTGCGCTTGGAAGTGGGGGAACTGGCATCCTCACCGTTCTCTTTCGTAGAGCCCCCAGAGCTGCCGTCACCCCGCCCATGTACCTGGCTTTGAACGCTAGTCTGGGAACTGCCGCTACTGTGGTGGTCCCCGTGGCAGCAAGTCTGTACGCCTTCCAAAGGGTTACTGGGACTTTCTACCTGCTGTGGTGACAAATCACATTGGGCCCTCAGTGGCTGTCCATTTCCCAGGAACACCCAGTGATGGGAATGATCCATATTAGCTTGACCCTCAGGTGGGATCCGCTTATGGCGGTATTTAAGCACGAAGACGATGCAGTTGATGAGAAACACTAAAATGGCCAGACAGAAGACTCCCAGTAGAGCATACATGCCAATCTCAAGGTCAGTCATGTTACGAGGTGAATGCACAAAGTCGTCTTCCTCCTCTTCATCACTCTCAGTTGGTCGCTCCTGATTGCTAATGGTGGGGAAATTGGTGTAATCAATGGGAACACTGGCAGGCTGCTCATTAGATGTCTCATAAATTCTTCCACTGATGTTCGGATCAATGATTGGACGCCTGGTAACGGGCGCCAGCTCAATCTCACCCTCTGTGGTTGCCTCTTCCTCAGAGTCATCCTCTGGGCCAAAGCGGACCTTGACATAAACTGCAGCAGATGCGATGACGCTTTTGCGTTTGGTCTTCTGGCAGGCCTCACAGATGGTCATCTCTACACGCACCAACTCGCCAGATCCCTCCCCTTCTGCCACCACCACAGGCCAGCGTTGCTGAGGCTCCTGGGATACCGACACAACTTTGTCATCCACTGTGGAAGCATTGAGGTTGTAGTCTTTGGGATCAAAATAAGTCAGAGTGGCAGCTGTGTTGTCACTGAAAAGCATCCAGACAGACAAACTGGCCTCCTGTCAGACAAAGAGAGAGAAATACAGTTATATTGGTAGTTACTTCACTTTAAAAATCAAACTTTGAAGAGTAGCAGGTATTTGAGTATTTGCCAGTATCATAACATAAATTCACATGGTTGTATGTCCTCGGGAAGTTAACATTTAACAACAAGGACTGCTAAATGTATTTGATTCCTATGGAATCAGAAGTAGTCTGAACTTATGACTTAATAGGAAGGGGGAAATAAGCTCTCCAGAGGATGTGCTTGCCAAATTCTGCGTTTTCTAACAGCGAGTTCATGAGAAAAAGTTTTACAAGTTATTAAAAAAATCCAAAATCTCTGCTGAAACTTGGCAGCGGACAGTACAGGTCCAAGAGCAAAATAATCAGTACCAATGTTTGTGTGTGGGTACACCTGCATACCAGTCTACCTGTGTGCACAGGAGGGAGGCCTGGAGGGAGGGAGTGGGATATTTCTTTGGTTGGATACTTTCTGACAAACCTTTGCAATTAATTCTACTTTATTCTTACATTTGAACTATTTGTGCTTATTGATCAATATTGATAAATTAAGTTTTTGCCAAGTAAATTAAGAAAATAAATTAATGTGTGCTAAATTTTGTGTGCCCAAAAAACTGATTGTGCATCCAAAGGACAAACGTCTCTTTAGACATAACTGTATAGAGTTTCAGAGGTCGACCAGTGATGGAGGTTGACCATTAATGTCGTAACACAGGTTTACCTTGAGATTTTAAGTTAATTTAATACTGTCTTGATTATCAGGATGGCAGACAAATTTTGGGCATTAGAGTGACCAATAGTGTGAAGGAAAGGTAGAAAAGCAATACAATTCCCACCCCAAATAGAAAAGTTACATATAGCTGCTTTAATAATTTTTCTCATGTGTGTATGATAACTTCCGCAAGTAAACAACATGCTGCATTAAGTATTAGTAAGATAATTTCAAAAAGCTGTGCCTTGCGTCTATGTCTCTCCAAAAAATATTTCAGTAGCTCAGATCCCATTCTTTCATGGCATTGACCATGATTTGGAAATCTGTTACCAGCTGAGCCTTTGAAGTTCTGGACTTGGTCCAATCCCTAAATCTCCAGAGCTTTTGTGAACATGTGCAATACCCTGTGCTCAGTACAAGCCTTGACACGCACGCAAATAGCCTGCTTGTGATGTGCACACCAGCAAACCACTTTCAAGCACGGAGAAGGAAGGGGTGGCAGGAATGACTGCGTTGTCCTGAAGGTTACAACACAGCTCCACTCTACAGCACAGACTGATAAGGCACATACACTAGCAGCATGTGCTTCGAATGATGAGCTCCAGTTTGTGTCTTCATGTGTTTTTATTGAGTGTGATCTTCTCATTTTGTACTTTCTGTCACTCTTCACTGTCTATACTCCCCTATAGAGAATCTGGGAAAAATGCCCAAATTCCTGCATGCTGGTTACCTGACAACATTCATCTGATGCAGAGTAAACCGCAAACACTGGTGTCCATGTAATCAAGGGTGCGTTTGACTCCCTTTGTTCATAGCTTGCTTAAACATCAGCAACCAGACATTACGAGAGCTGACAAAGAGGTAAACTTTTGTCACTAAAACAAAGTCCGTCTGTTGTTCTGTTGTTATTGCAAAGCGTAAATACACACCCAGTCTTTTCGGGACAAAAATCCCTTTGGGTTTAGTTCAGAGCAGACTACCATGATGTGACGATATTCCACAATGAGCAAAAGCTCTATCATCTCAGCATGACAGAATGAAGACAGCCTTTGATATGGATGATTTAAATAATACATTGAATATGGCATATCGGTTTTTATGAGTTGACTCTGCCATGAAAAGGCTGATATAGGGGGATAAAGGCAGTGAATGGGTGTTTCAACACTGAGGAAACAATTGGCACATGCTTTTCTATGCTGATCCAATGCTGGAAATGTATGCATGTAGAGGAGATGATTTTGTTTTGGGTAAAGAATTGCAAAGCCATTTTAATTGAAAAGGCAATTCGGGCATGAAAGACTTGATGAGACCCCGAGGGCTTTCTGCATTATGTCGATATTATTTTTTTCATCTAGATTATAGCTTACCTTATCATCAACAAACAATCTCCACAATTAATGTAATCTGTGCATTTCCATAAAGTAATGTGTATTAGGATGAAGTGTCCCATCTTTGATTTTCCCATTTTCGGATTTTTGGTTTATGGTGTATGGGAATATATGTGGATGTAAATTGAAAATAAACAGATTGGATTATAAAATATGCATATGCAGAAAAACTCCCCGGGAAATATTATTTGGAGACATTTGCATCAACTTGTAATGTAATAATACTATCCAGATTCATTTATACCTTATTAGGCTGCTCATTAAAGAAGTAACAGTAAGTCATAGCAACAGAAATGGTTTATGATGAACCTTCAAGTACTGAAGCCTTTGATTCGTTCTGAAAGGCTTGAACTTTGTCAAATGGAAAAGAAAATGATGCAAAGAGACCTTGATTGTTCAACTCTCTCCATGCATAGTTTATGTGTTCATTCATTTCTAGAGTAATAGAGGACATTTAGAAAGTTTTCCTGTGAAACAGAATCAAATGGCTTGAAATAGCTGCAGTAGTCCTCTGAGAGCTTTGCCGGCAGAGGAATTGGCTGCCTTTTATGGCCCGGCCTTGGAGAGCACTTAGGACAATACATTACAATAATTAAATTTCAAGGTGGCCAAGAAGCGGAAAGCAAGAAAAATTGGAATTTAATGCTCGCTTCTCTCTCACTGATGCTTGATGTGGTTGTCGTTGCATTTTTAGCAACTCGCAGGCCAATGAAAGGGCAAAGCAGAGCAAAAAGAACACACACACACACACACAGACACTACATCCCCCTAGGTGAAGCAGGGCTGGTAATTAATTCCTTGCAGATAATTGCAGAGATCCATACTCCTGTGTGAAGAGACAGTGGCAAAGCAAAATCACACTTTCTACTTTCTTTCCCACCCAGTCGTCTTCTCACTTCTCACTTGAGCAATAAAATCCATTTCTTGAAACGTGTTTGAATGTATCAGAAGTGTTTTGCCAGGCTTGGCTAATACGGGGGTTGTGATAAAACAGCACCAACGATACTTATTAGTTCACTGCAGCTGCCTTTATCTGGTGTCCTTGCTAACAATGCTGGCTTGGAAATAATTTTATTACTCAGAAGTGAAACTAGTGCCTGCTTGTTGATATAGAGCCACTGAAGGGATTTGCAAATAAACTTAATTTTCCCCCTCTGGAGACAGAAATATAGAAACATACTGAGTACTGTGTGTTAGTAAGGCATAAGAAGCCACAAAACTACACACTACTGCGTGCGTTTAGTAATTGATAATTGTTTCATAGCCACATTTTAAGTGTATAAAGAGGTCAGATGTGTTGGTAATGTTCAGAGTAGGGGAGTGCATTTATCTCTCTCAGATGATGACAAAACAATACAGATACATTTGTAACAATATGATTTGATTCAATTGGAATTTGATATTGATCCAGCTGAGATTTTAAAGGATTTTATGTTTTGACTTGTATAGAAGTGCGTTGGTTTTGGACAACATTAAAATCAGAACAGGTCTAGAAAATTATGTATACTGCCAGAACAAGAACAGTAAACATGGGCGGTGACACACTAGGTAACTTTAAGTGAGCCCCCAATTAGGATTAATTTCTCAGTAAAACGGGGCAGACTAGATTCCAGTGTCTATTTAAATTTGTGCTTAGGAACAAGCACTAACGATTGATATTTACCTCAGGTAGACTGCTGGTAACTTTACCGTCAGCGCACCCATAGTCTTCATAAATATGTAGCAAGGACTGTGGTGCCACCTGCATATTTTTATGATACTCCCGTGTGTTTTGCAGACTAAAATGCTCTATAAATATTTCATGCAGCTTTGGACATGGTAGAGTCTGATGTTTCTTTTTAGTGTGGGAATTTAAAGTGAATGGCTCAAAGTCAGTATGTGATTGGGGAACTATCTAGATGGCTACAGTGCACACATACACACAGTTTCTGTTACCAAGGAGGACATTGCTTTGACTTATATTAAGTCCCTGGAGACATAACCCTTACCCTAACCCTCAACTATAACCCCTAAATGTCGTACCCAACCCTAAGACAGAGACACACACATTCACAGGAGCACAGAGAAAGCCCGCAGTTTTTTTTTTTTTTACATTTATTCATTTAGCTGACGCTTTTATCCAAAGCGACTTGCAATTATATTATATATATATATAGCACACCTGTGGAGCGACTAGGACACACCAATGCCATGCCTCTTATCCACCCCCTCCACCCACATCGCCACCCCATATTTTACAAAACGGCACTAATATGAAGCAGGTACTGAACGTAAAAAAAAAAATGGCATTGCCTGGACGAATAATTTGTCATTTTTCTGCACTGTGTGGTGTGGTATGCTGTACCTGTTTGGGAGCAGTGAGTGTCTGGATGCCAGTTGCCTTGGCCACCATGGTGTGGCTGTTGCCGGGGCTGGGCTGCAGCGACAGGGTCAGGCCTGAAATGGCGTTAATGCGCATCTCCGTGATGGAAACCTTGTCGTCTGTGACGGAGAACGCAGACTCTCCCAATACCGCATCCACTGCTAGTGGAGACTCCACCTGCAGAGAAAAGATGCTCTTTTATTGTTTCTCCACATGACAGAGGGGCATCGTTTAAGTCCAGAATAGACAACAGCTTTATTGTCTTTCTGAAGCTCATAAAGCCCACGACAAGCCAATTCTGGATTAAAGTGCTTTGTGCTGTTGTTTGTTCCAGTGCGTCTTGTATTCATGTGTCAATGCCTCTCTGTCTATCATACTGAAAAAACAAACAAAAAAACCCACTCGAGACAGAATCCATCAGCAACCAGACAACAAGGTACAATCCGAAGCAGCCACCACATGCTTTCAAAGTGACGCTTAGCAGAAACACTTGTGCCCATCGAAGTGTCACCACATGAAACACCAAAACCATTTGAAGCCAGTCTCGCCTCTTCGGGTAATCCCAGGCTTTTGACAGGCCTCTGCACCCAGTACTTTCAACACTTTTAAAAGATCATCATTTCACTTTGCAATTGCAACCAGAGGTCATGATGGACTTGAACAAAGTAAAGAGCCATTCAGTGGTGCAGCAACCTTGTCCTCAGAGTCAGACGGGGAAATCTTTACCACCTTCATTTGAAGCATTTTCTAACTCTTGCTGGCATCAAATAAAGCACGCAATGCTAGAGCAGTGAAGGGTTTGGTACTCTGTAAACTGAAACCTTGAAACAGCAAGCCAGCTACACCACCTATACACAAGTTCTGCTTCCAAACAACATTATTTAGCAGCCTTAAATTTGTAGTCATTTGTAATTTGATGTGCCAGTTCAAAAATCCATCCATCGTCAACCGCTTATCCTGTGCACAGGGTTTCACCTGCAATCAGGTGAAAGGCGGGGTAAACCCAGGACAGGTCACCAATCCATCGCAAGGCCTCAGTTCAAAAATTCGCATTAAAATAGGCGTGAACGATACAAATAAAATGGTAAATAAAATTATACGTTTTTTTTTTTTTTTTACTTGAAGCCTTTAATTTTTCTCTTTTCTTATATAGCATATGGAGACTTGCTGTGACAAAAATCTGTTTCTATGACTGCTTTTTCCCTTGCATGATTTCCACATCATTTGTACAATGTATTTCTTTTTTCCTGCCTTTGGCTCAGATCTAAGAACCACATAATTTGGTGCAATCATTTGTTGTGTAATTTGGTACAATGTAATTTGTCATGTAAAGGCTTGAGCCAAATCATCTGCGGAACCAGATGCATCTGCAGGTGTTTGGTTTTAATAATTTGGTCTCGATACATTATGATTTCTGTTGTGCTTAAAATCACAAACTGCCTTAATAAAAACACACACATGCATAGAAACAATCAACACTCACAGAATGCAGCGGCCTGCCAATTTCTTTTTAATTACAGCCTCTGTAAATTTGTACTCTTGCTCTACGCTGTTTAGTAAGTGAGGTCTATTCCTTTATAGAATAAGAAGCATTGAGATTTGGGAGATGCATGCAATACAACTGACTTGCAACACACCTTGTGTGTTTATTGTCTGTCAGAGATTTTATTCAACTCTGTAGTCATTTTTAAGGCTCTAGTAATTGTTAAGCAAATATTCTGCTAAATTGGACAAATTAATCTTAATTCATCTTAATTTACAATCTTTTCCCGGAGCATTCAACAGCATCTCAAGGCCCCAATCAGAGTTTGCTCAGATAAGATTTTGTCAACCGCTGGCAAAGGTCACACTTGTTCGGGTCCATTTGTGACTGCTCTTTTTCTCTGCTAATACACTTATGGTGTGTTTAGAAAATAATTGCATTTTATTTCTTGCCACATCATTTCTTAGTGTTAGCATTTTCTGGCCTTTGTAATCTCTGTAAGAAGTCCTACATTGTCTTGATTTGTAATTTCACACAAAACAGTAAGTCATACAAAGTTCTCAAAGGGACTTGAAAATTATCATGATGCATGCATAGCATGGCCAAACTGAACATATAAAAGCATAACACATGCAAGACAAGCAAGGACTGTTGGACATTCCTATTATGTCAGTGTTATTTTGCCATTTAAAATGTGTTTATAAGCCTGATCATTACATGTTTATTTTCAATTGTGTGGTCAAGGAAGGTGGGGACCCATCCAGACTATGTGCCTGGAATGCTTGGCACATTGCACCTGTATTAAAATATTTTAAACTCAAGGCTCACTTACTAGCTTTTTCTGAAGCTTTTGACCGTCCTGAGCGCTGTATAAAAAAAATCTCATGTTGTTATTCTCCACCTCAGAATTAGATCCTTAACTTTAATGACATTTGTTACAAGTCACCCTAATGAGATGGCTTGATAATTGCAGTCAAGCACTGCACAGCAACAAGAATGGTATTGCTTAAGTCGGAAATGAATAAAAGTAATCCTCCATACTGGTCAATGCCTAAGGGCTAAAAAATAGGAGATTTTTTAACGCAACAAAATCCTGTAGTCAGGCTCAACTTCCATATGCATATTGTTTGGATGTGATACATTAATGTGCTAGAAGGGAGAGTTATGGTCCACTGGACACCACACAAACACTTGCACATGCAATGACACATCCATACACACCGACAAATACACACATGCGTGCATGCAAAACCCTAAGGCATGATAGTAAATGGAAGCATAAATAAACTTTTAAAGTTTTCATGAGGACAACCCAGTTACACGATGGATCATTCCTACTACAGGAGCTTCTTCTGCTACAACAAATGTTTTTGAATTGTGTAACTTTTTATTTCTAGGGATAGATTCAGTTTAAGAGGGGAGTTAATAGAGATAAACACCATTAGCCATTTTATGAATAGTGAGTGTGATTTTGTGAATACAGGTGAAAGATATGTCCTGAGCAAAAACAAGTCCATTTTTGTGTACAAACATGTCTAAACATAAATCCTACTGAGGTCACACACAGATTCAGCCAGTAAAAAGTGTTTGCTTACAATTGATTTTCTGCTATTTCCCGTTCCATTCCACTGTGGCTGATATTTTCACAGGGCAATTAAAGTGACTAAAAAACATTTAATACAATTAAAATCAATATTGGCGACTATGTACAAATGTCAAAACACAATTCAAAGATACACCACATTGTACATTGATTGTGTAAACTAAAAAATGTAATCACAGAAACAAATCTTGTTTGGGGTTATGATCCATGGTGAAAACATATCATATTGTGTAGCCATTTATTCCTGAGTGGTCATGTATCCATTTTCAGGGATATTTAAGAAAAATCCCTTTGTCCCTACAGAAAAGGAACTGCAGTGCAAGTGCAGGTATATCAATGCTTGAACCTCCCCCAGTCTCTGCTATTTCTGCAGTTTAAGCTGGCACACATAGAGCCTCAAAAATCAAATAAATCTGTTTTATGTGTGTTGTGTATAGATTCTTTACTGTAAAATCTACCTGAACACAACCTTTTAAATTTTTTAAATTAAAATAGGCACGATTACAGAAGTGCAATAGATACATTAATTAACAAAAAAACATTTTATTTTAAGTCAATAAGCAGCAAAACACATATTCTGGGAAAAGAGTGATACCCAGTAATATTTATAGCTATAATGCCTCATAGGAGTTCCACCCACAGTTGCCAAAATATAAAAAGAGGCTTAATTGTGGAGGAAAAATATTAGACGTGCACAGAATGACTCATAATTCATTCCTTGATTTTATGTGCAAGTTCAAAGGGTGCACATCTCCTTAGATTGCTCTAAGTTCCCTAACGCTCAACTGCACTCGCCAAGATTTCTGTTTATGTGATAATTTGATTATGGATCGGTCTTATTGCCTGAACCATGGTGCTATTACTGGCATTAAAGCACATTAATGTTAAAAAGGGACATCCCATGCTCCTCTCAGTATATTTGCAACATTGGACAAGACAAGAACATAACTTTTGTGTTAGGAGCAGCTAGTCTGGACTCTTATCAAAGAGTAACTTAACAACAGATGAACATCTTGTTCTTGCTGACCCTTCACTGGTTGAAGTTCTCATCTTGCTACAGAGATGTAGAAGTGGTGTGGTCAGCCTGGTTGTGCTCAGGCTTTAAACGTTCAACAGGAACAGCTTCAGTCCCTTTTGAAGCACTTCACCAATTACAATTACTTATTTAAACTTTCTGCACACCATGTTGGGGGGAGCAGTGCTTTTAAATGGGAATGAGAGGGATTGATCTGGCCTGATCGATGTCAGCTAAGTCACTACTTCTTCATAATTTAAGCAATTTTACAATGCCACCTTTGACTTAAGAAAAAAAATCCAATCCATTGGTCACACCTACATTTTGTTTCACCAAGTATACCTTGATTCACTAAATGTGAATGTATTTTAGTGTATTTAAGTGTTAGGTTCAGTCATTATCTACATAGATGGTCTCATATGCACAGTTCTGTTTCTACTTTTCTTATGTGGGTTTTGTTTATGACAAGTTTAGCCAACATGATCCGAGAGCATGTATTTAGTTAAAAATAGTTCAATTATAGCACATGACAGTATGACAGCAGTATTCAAGTTGAAACAGACAGCTTTAAAGCCATTAATAATTGCCACAAATATGAGTTGCAGAAAATTTAGTCCAGAGCAAAGAAAAGTTGGTCAGTGACAGAGTCTTTGTAGGAAGGGTCTCTCTGTATCACAATAATTATCCAGAAAGTCCAATATAAAAAATGACAATGCTCACAGTTTATCATTTATTCTATTTGCACCGATGCAGTGTTTTTAAAATAATAGTTGGGGAGAAAACTGCTGGCCCTTGCAGAGGGAAATTAAGCTTCAAACAAGCTTTTGTCACATTAAAAATAAAACCCAGGAGAAAGATTTTCTTCCTGACTGTTATCAATTTGTGGTGTTTGTGATGAATTCTAGGGTGTATTTTCTGATGAAGTGCTGCAAGTTGGTTTTTCATTTCCCCTCATTGCCTCATTTTCTTTTACCACAGTTAACAATGATAAAATCTTTATCCAATGTTGGTGTTAGATTAAAAAAAAAAGGATCACCAAAATGATTACAGTTCATCCTGAGAAGGAAATGGATGTC